TTTGTTAAAATTATACTAAGTTTTATTGTATAAATAAAATGCTCAAAAGTTGAGACAATTCACCAATTTAGAGAATAATATGTACTAGTATGTACTTACGTTTATTTTACTTGAAAAATACCGTTATTTTACATTACTTTGCATTTCGTGATATTAAATTTTCAGAAAAATTTTCACATTTTAAGAGTGAATGGTTCCAGAAACAAGCACGTGTGAGCGAATTGGTTGCACAGAAACTATCAACTTTCTTCAAAAATGACAAAAACCGAAAAAATAAACCTCTGAAAAAATTCGTTATAGGGAGACAACCACTTCGTTATATGGAGAATATTTTGGATGTTATTTAACATTCCGATTAAAAATTTCGTTGTAGGAAGAAATTCATTGTAGGGAGACTTCGTAATAGGGAGACTCTACTGTATTTGGTATCTTTACTTCCAGCGGTCTCCCCTGAGTGTTTTGACCGTTTTTTGCATCACCCAATTAATAGTTATTATGCCAGCCTAAAATCATTATCATGTTAAAAATATTTATTTCCTCTGAGGTAATGTGGAAAGAACCGCAGATTTATAACTGAACAAACAAAACGGAAAGAGCAATACCTCATGAAAAGTTTAAAAAAGAGTCGATCGAATGCTTCTACTATAATTTTTATTCTCCAAGAATTCATTAAAAAGACTTAATTAAACTTGATAACCCATTCAGAAACATAATAAACGACACTTTAAGCTCTCGATTCCCGTTCCCACTCCCAAACCTAACGAGATCGCCACTCTTTAATTTCAATAAGGGAGAGTTTTTAGCCTTGGCGCGGCCCCCGCCTCGAATTCTCGGAATTGTCAACCGAGGTCTTAGTTCCGGCTCATTTTTCACAGTTTTATACCACCGCCGGCGGATGATGGAAAATTGCTCCCCTTCAGCAATTCTGCGGCGGCCAATCGGAAGCGGGGATTCTCTCTTTCTTATGCCGCCTATCTATACATTTTGTTGTTTTCGATAAGGCTCATTATAAAACCTTAGCAGCACCCTCGCCCCCTCAGCGCTTCTCAGTCCCCGCTACTTGTCAGCTGAGACTAATAGCGCCGCGTGCGGACAGGGGTTGCAACAGCGATCAGGTGGCGCCAATCTTTTGCGGCCAAGCTAACCTCCACCAACAATAGGATTTAAATGCTGCTTCGACTAAGGACAAATTTTAGACCAAATTTGCTCTGTCCAAATGGATAAACTTTCAACACTTCAGTCAACTCTGATTTAAAACTCATGAAACGATGCTGTTGAAAAAAGCGATTCTCGAAGAAAAGTTCAAAAATTTTATTATCTAAAAATAAAGCCATAACACATTTACAATTCTAAAACAGTCTTTGTTTTTATTCTTATTCCTTAAATATTTATTTCAACTAATGTGTTATTATATTTTTTAAATGCGTTTTCTGAAAATTAAAATTTCTACTAAAACTGGTCCACGGAAAGCGTGATTATATCCAAAACATTTTGTCAAATTCATTCAAATTTGGTCACTTGTGTCAAAAACCTTTGAGGGTGTAATAGATCGCAGATTTGATGATAGGTTTATTTAGTCATCTTTTCAGTTGACAATTGGATAATTTTGCAAAAAATCAATGTCGCCAACTTTGAATGTTCATAAATATTTATTTATTAAACTAATTTTTATCTTGCGATTATTACATTCTAAATGGTTTGAGAAGTACGCATCAAAATTAAATTAAATACGTCCCTATTTTTTTTTCAATTATGCTGTTTTTCTTAACATTGATATATAAAGTTCATGAAAAAAATTTATTTTCAAAAACTACTGATGATATAATTTTTTATTTCTAATTATGAGTATTTAAGCCTATTTTGTTATTTAGCTCTGTAAATCTTTTTTTGTGCATGCTTTTAATTTTTTCTAGAACCTAGTCGGGTCCTTAAAATAAACCAGATCAATAGTTGTTCCTGTATAAGTTATGGATCGTCTGCTTTTAAACGTTTCTTTAGTCTTCGTCAGAATTCTGTTTTCTAGCAACAAGTTCTTTTTATGTATTCTTGTTCTTTACTAGTAAAAAATTTTTACAAACTGTGAATCTTATACAAATTTCGTTTCTGAAAAAATTATTAAAATGAGGGCAACGAATTGAACGGAAATGAAAATTGTACATTGAAAATTAATTTTTTTAACTTTAATCTGGTGTAAAATAGTTTTCGAGAAAACTTTTGAAAAATATCTTACTAAGAACATAAAATCTTGTTTAATTTCTAATTAACTTAAATTTTAATTAACCTTTTAAAAATATTTATAAAAAGAAACAAAGTATCACAGAAAATAAAGTAAATTAGTTCAAAGCCTAACCGTTTCTAGCAACGGAGATCTATAAATTTGCTTTATTTCAAATCGTCTCAAGTAATCAATCATTTATTAAATTTTAAAATCAATAAAATTGAAGAACACATTTGATAAATATAAAATAATTATAATTGAAAGTGCAAAACTTTAAGATGATATAAAAATATTTTTTTATTGGAATAATTAGCTCTGAACTTACTGCGGAAAAAACGGTTGGGGCTAATTTCTAATTAACTGACTGTTTAATTAACTTTTGCACTTAGAAAAGTTGACAGGTATCTTCTCTTGTCTTAAAATAATAAGTATAAAATTTAGTTGAAAACGGCCGAGTGGTTTAGGAAGAGATGGCTTTTATTTATATTAAGACTAGCTGATATACCCGGGGTTGCTCGGGATAAAATATTTTTAAGTCCAAGTACTTATAACACTTTCAACTAAATAAAGAGTTTTTCGCAGCAGCCTTTGTTGCTTTTCTAATCTGCAGCCGTGCTCTCTGACTCTCTCGATCAGCGTTAAGCACACCTCCTCTTTTGTCTCCTTTATTTGAACCATCTGGCAAGATTTTAGTAGTCCTTGTACTCCATTTCCCCTCCCCACCATTGCTAAGGCGACACTAAGCTTTTTCATATCTTGGATTTCATTGCCATTATTCGGATTACAATTCTCTTCTCTTTAGTGTTTGTGCCACTAACCGGAAAAACCGTATAGTGCTCTGTCTTTTTCTCCTTAGATCCTCTCCCTCCGGTAGAGGCTTGGGCTCAATAATCTTGAAGGATTTTACACACTCATTATGATCATTTAAAATTTGTAAAATTAAATGAAATATCGCGGAAAGAGAATAATTAACATCATTGGATTGTGGTGCAAACAATATTGAAAGATGTATTTGCTACGAAATAGAAGCGAAATAAAAATTCTACTTTCTGTTAATTTTCAAAGAAAATAATATTTTCCATCATAAGTTCCACAGTGGTAAAATATAGGAATGAGGATTTGATAAAACGATAAATTGGTTTAAATTTATACAGTTAAAAAGCATTAAAAAGCATTTACAAAAGAAACCATTGTCTGTTATTGTGGAATAAATTTGAAATGTTTATTAAATTAAGGAAAAGAATGGTATGCAAATCATCACTAATTTTCTGTTTATTGGGAAAAACTAAGATAAAAGCCAAAATTGGTTAATTTTCTTTTGTTAATTATATATCTTAGGAAGTAATTTTTTTTAAAGTTGAAAAAGAACAATTAATCTGGGAATGGACTCCGAGAATGAAGCATTGCAATTGACATGAAAACTATTTACCGTTTAGGAGGTTCTTGAGACAGATAAACCGTTGAAACATCTTTTTTCTCTCCCTTTGACCTCTTCCTACGATAGGATCGGACTAAGAAACCATGAGGCTAACACACTCATTAGGATGATTTAAAGAATTTGTGAAAAGAAATAAACAAAGCATCAGAGAATAATTCACTAACGTATGTTGGATCACTTTATTGCTACGACAACCCGAACCGGAATAAAAGTCTCATTGCTCTAAAATTAAACGCTGGAACACATAGTAATAAAACTAACGTCATTGAATTATTGCAATAGGGTTGCCATATTGCCTTTTTTAAGGCCAATGTGAAATGGCCTTTTAAAGCCCTTGGCCTTAGAAATTTTCACTTGGCCTTAAATTAAATGTTGTGCTTTTGGCTTTATTTTCGTTAATGACTATTTGAACAATTTTTAATTGCTTATATCCTATTGTTTTAATAAATTTTGATATACACATTTCAAATGATATATAATGAGCTGTCAAAGGAAATAGCTCTAATTAGAACAAAAGGATGTTTGAAATTTCTTTTGCTTAAATTTTAGCTAATGATAGGCATTGGTACAATGCCTATCAGAGTGGGCTCGTTTTCATGAAGGACAACCTTTTCTAATATCAAATGAGGGTTTTCAGTCAATTTATCAAATTTGGCCCTTTTTTGGCCTTATTTGAAAGAACGGTTTTAGCCTCATTTTGTTATTTTATCTGGCAACCCTGATTCAGAAATCGTAAACCAATGTATGCTCAAACATGAAGCCAGGTAAAAAAGTCTACTTTGAGTGAATGTCAAAGCAATATTTTCTGTTATATTTAAAAAAAAAAAAAAAAAAAAAAAAAAAAACACTTGGCAAAGCCCGCATGAACAGTAATTTGACCTAAATTTATTTCTATAGATAAAAGTATTGTAGTAGAATTGGTTAAAATATTTTTTTAAAACCTTTATAACAATTATTAAATCGATACACAATGGAATTAATATCTTTAAAAGATAATTTTCTGCTCTTTAAGGTGGTGTAAAATAATTGCGTCAATAAATATTTCAGAAGTTATTGGCAACATAACGCTCAACATGAGGCTTAACAAGCGGCCTAATTTTTCGTTATTTAATTAAATATCTTAAGAACTAATTAATTCTGAAAATTGAAGATAGCACAATTGACCTAGAATGTAGTCCAGAATGTTGTGTACAAATTTCATGTCGCTACCGTTCACCGTTTAGGAGAGTTCTTGTGATCGACGACAGACATGTACTTTTCCGAAAAGATGTCAATCGCTTTCGCTATTTATCAGAAACCAAATAGTTCTAGGAATATTAATTTTACTGTACAGCTGCGACGTAGGGCCAGAGGTGGCCGAGCAGTTGGGACGATGGACTGCTAATCCATTGGGCTCTGCCGCGTGGGTTCGAATCCCATCCTCGTCGAAACAAACGTTTTTGTTCCCCACTTAGTTTCAGGCGTGGTTCGTTTATTCCCACTTTAAAAGGAAACATGATGACGACAATTATGCAATTTCCATTTGAAATACAGCAAACTAAAACTTTATTATTTTGAGGACACATCTAGGAAAGTGATGAAAGTAGGACTATTACATACACTTTTAAATTACGTTGAAAATTTATAAACGTTTTTTTCTTTTTAGAAGCAGGATACACGTTATAAATGAACCAGCAAAGATAATTCTGTAATGACTGTTGATTAAAAGATTCTTAGAAAACCAATTCTAACTTTTTAACGTGAGGACTCCATTCCTCCCATTGGGTCTCAGGAAGGAATTTGATTCACACACTCCAAAACGCCACAGAAACGTTGTATGGAAGATCCTCTATATCTCGGTAACTACATACGTTAAAATATAACTAATGTCTTATTTTTTTGAGAGATAAAGGGTAACAACAGAACTAATAGGGTAAGATAAGTGTAACAATAGAACAAAAAAAAAAAAAAAAAAAAATTGAAAATCGTTGTTGTTCAGCGACTACTGAGTCGCAAGGTTGATCCAGTAAAATTCGCAGAAGGGTGATCGCAGAAGGGTTACTCCACAACGCATTCTCTATGATTATGAAATATTGCGTTTGAGGTGTCGATGAACAAGAACTTCATGTTCCGGTGTGTCCCTCTTATGGATAATGTTACTCGGAAAAAATAGAGTGTATCCAGCATTCATCAACGAGTGTGTGTGAAGAAAAAACTTCCTTTCTTGAAGTCATTTCCTAATTCTTTGCCGCCAATTTTTCAACATTAGTATTTCAAACAAAAGAGAAATTAGCGAGTAACTTCGAGAAACAAATGAGGGTGGGAAGTAACTTCGAGAAACAAAAGAGGGTAAAGAGAGTAACTTCAGTAAAGGGGTAGGTATTGTGAAGCAAGAACAATATGATAACTTCGAGAAACAAAAGAGTATCACTTGATAACAAAGAGAATCGAAGCTTCGAAACAGAAGAGAATCTGAGTAACAAACAGAAACCGAGAAACAAAAAGAGTCCTGCAGGTAAAGTAGTCCTACGCCCTTTAACATCAGCGGCTGTTTGAAAAGACAGCCTCCGTGCATTTTTTCATATTTTAATGTTCGATTACTACATTGACGGAAAGCTTTGTGCTTTTCTTTCTCTTTACAAAGTCATCAATAACTTGTTCGATTGCGATGACATACCAAGCCGTACATGCATTTTGGCGTTACCTGCCAGAAGTAGATCAACTTGATTTATTTCAGAATAAGTTTGCTAAAATTTAGTTGTACAGATAAATTCCAGTTATAAAGAATTTAATAAAATTTTGTAGAAATTTTTCTGGAGTAACTTGATATTTTTTTAATGTTTTTTGCTTTATTTCAGAACTAAATGTTTTCTTATTAAAATTTCTAATTTTAAATAAGTTTTTGGGTTAGTGTTTAAATTGTTAAATCGTTAATATATCTTTTTTAAAGTTTCCAGGAGCACTGTAGCAACTTTGAATTCTAATATGTTTTAAGGTTCACTGATTGCAACTTTTATTCTTTGAGTGCTTTTTTGACTCATGCACTCATATCTCAGTTTTCTATGGTGCATTTTCTTTTTAATAAATAAATTATATTCGGTCATCAGGACAAATTTGAAGCAATTCCCTAGTATTATACTGTCTGATATTTTTTCAAATTCCTACTATTAGTTCACACTCTCACTATATATATTTATATATATCTTGTTCAAATTTTCAATCGTTAATAAAATACTTTTTTTATTCATCACTCCAGAAGTTCAAATACATTTTTTAAAACTTGTGAAATTGGATGACGCCAATCTTAATACAGTGTTTTCAAATATTAATTCATTAATTGAATTGAATTAATTAATTTTTTATTTATTAGAGCTTCCCACAGGCTACGATCATGTGGGTAATGGGGACAAGAAATGCGGAACAGGACTAGGTAACAACGGTAGCGCGTCTGACTCAGTTCGAAGGCTGCGTGTTCAAATAACGTCCGTGTCAAAATTTACTCAAGACATATCATTTTGCACTTAATTTATATTCTGAAAAATATCTCTTGTTAGCAGTGCGTCCAAAATGTTTAGTTCCCCGTTTGAATGGATAAACTTAGGTCTATTTTTTTCTTCTTCAATTCCTACTATTAGTTCACACTTTCTCTATATATATTTATATATCTTGTTCAAATTTTCAATCGTTAATAAAATGCGCATTCATCACTCAAATTCAAATACATTTTTAAACTTGGTGGATGACACTTGATATTAATAAGTTTTTTTTTTTCAAATATTAATTCATTAATTAAATTTAATTAATATTAATTTTAGTTTATATGGGAGAAAAAAAATTTCTAAAATAAAATTTTTCTTTCTTGACCTAAGTAGGAATTGACTTTAAATTGTTTTTTTTATATTACTTGTTTAATTTTCTCAAAACAGACCCAGCTTACCTAAAGGGTGTAAAGCTCGACTTATATGACAGCTTACAAAATGGTTTAAATTTTCGATAACGTGGTATAACATATCGTCGATGTTCAAGCAGAAGTCAATAAGTTCACAAAAACACTACTCACTATTGCAATCAATTAGAATTTGCAATTAATTATTTGTGATAAACCCATTATATAAACATTAGTAACTCCAAATGTAGGAGCTAGAGATCTATAAAAATGTTTATACTATTTATCACATAACGACTCAAAATTAATTAAGTTTAAATTGACCGTATCTCAGAAACTATAGTTTTTTTGGACTTAGTGACCTTTGCCTGAACTACGACGATACACAGCTAGGTTACCAAACGCTTGGATTTCGTCCGGACGGTCAGTTTCAAGCTCATGTCGGATCTTCAGAAATGTCAGTTTACACCAATAGATATTGGCGAAAGGGAAATTTGAACGTACAGTAGACTCTCGATTAGCGGGATCAGTTATCCGGGTTACTTGGATTATCAGTGACCCCCAAAAAAAAAAAAGAAAGAAAAGCTCAGATTGCGGCCGTTGGAATGTGCGGGAAGACCGCGTCTTCTCCTTACCTATTGTATTGATATTGAAATCTGCATAGTATAATTCATCCGAAGAAACTGAAGAACAAAAACAGACACAATCGTTTCATTCTTCACAGAACAGTGAATTAAACTATCTCTGTTTTTCTTTTTTAATGGTACAGTGTAAATCTAAATAACATCAAAATGTCTTGTTAATTCTTTTTCTTTTGTATTAATTAAACTATTAATATCTTGTGTATAATAATTTTTACATTTCTATCATTTTTCAAAATTTTCATCAAAATTTGCATAAATTGGATTGGCAGGATATTCAACTTGCTCGGGACGAAGCATTCCAAACCATCCCGGTTAATCGAGTCTACTGTAATTGAGAAAAGACTGACTTATTCAGAAAAACTGATATCACTCACCAACGAAAACTCGTTGCTTACACTGTTTACATTTCATTGTTGATGAAAGTGGATGAGCCTCCTTATACAGGCCCCAAATCAAACTGAAAATTAAAAAGTTTTGGGAGTTTTGTGCTTCGACCTGTTTATCACCATTATTGTCATTAATATTAATGAAAATTGATCTCAGTTTTGACGTTTTAAATGTTTGCATCTTCAAACTCTGTGTTAGTGTTATGAAAGAGGTCATTGTTGAGAACTTTGGGAATTTAAACTATACTTTTTAACCTTTTTCAAGACCCTTCAGCCCCTTCCCTCTCCGGTGTGTCCGAATTTCAACTATTAAGTATAAGCCAACCCTACATATAGCTCTATTTTATTATTCAATTCCTAATACTAGTTCACCTCTCCCTATATATTTATTTATATCTTGTTAAATTTTTTCAATCGGTAATAAAATACTTTTTTATTCCATCATAATTTCAAATACATTTTTAAAGCTTATGATGGATGACACTTGATGTTAATACAGTTTTTTCAAATATTAATTCATTAATTAAATTTAATTAATTAATTTTGGTTTTTTTTACCTGGGAGATGTATATGGCGCCTTGAGGTCGTTTGGTTCAATTTTTCTCCAGTAGATGGAGCTAGGTTTGCCAGCTTCCTGGGCATAATATCAGCACTTTCTTTCTGGTATATTCACGAAGCGTCATTTTTCCATGTATTTTTTGTCAGAGGTAATGTTGATTACTTTCTTTATTCTCTCTACTGGATATGTTAAAAAAGACTTTATGAAGTTTGTTTTTCAATTTTATTAGTTCACACTCTCCCTATATATATTTATATATCTTGTTAAATATCAATTGTTAATAAAATACTTTATATCCCACTCAGTTCAAATACATTTTTTAAAACATGGCGGATGACACTTATGTGGTTTTCAAATATTAATTCATTAAATAAATTTAATTAATTAATTTTAGTTTATGGGAAAAAAATTTCTCTTATATAGATATTTAGCAGGATAAATTTAGGAATAAATACCGTCAGTGACGAAGCGTGTAGATCCTTTGACCTAAGTAGGAATTGACTTATAATTTTTTTTTTATATTACTTGTTTTCAATCAACCCAGCAATCCACAAATGAGAAAATAATTTATCTATTAGAATAATTTTATTGTAGCAAATGTTCAAACTGTTGCAATCAATAAAATGAAGCATTTAAGCAAAAAACGTACGTACATTTCATGATATGTATGACATACATATCAATATATTAAATAGACAAATTATGAAGCCTAGCCAAAGCTTATAGAAAAAATTGTCAAAACAGGAATAAGAAATCTTAATACGGCTTTAGGTGATCTTTCTGGAGATTATGAGAGCAGCAAAACAGAAATATAAACTTTTGTCCTCAATCTGCAAATAATGTGCTAGATAGGGTTCCATTCTTTGGGGCAATCTTCGCAACCTCCGTAGAGAGTATTGTGTAATTGGATAAGCAGCAGCAATAGGTTGATCATATTCTCTCTGAGATCTAAGTCCAATCATTTGTGAAAGTC